GTTCTCCTGCCTTATTCTCGGCCTCTCAGCACGGTAAGATCTTTTCTTTTGCTCTTTCAGTAAGCCGATGGCTCTGATATGGGGCCTATTTCACATCCTCCTAATGCAGTCGTTCTCAACCTTCCTAATGCCGCCACCATTTAATACAGTTCCTCATGTTCTGGTGACCCCCTAACTATAACATTATTTTTGTTGTTACTTAATCACTGTCATTTTGCTACTGTTATGAATCCGGTGGCCTCTGTGAAAGGGTTGTTTGACCTACAAAGGGGTCGTGACCCACAGGTTGAGAACTGCTGCCCTAATGTGTTGGCCTGCTAACCACAAAGTCTGCAATTCATAACCACCAGCTGCTCGTCAGGAGAAAGAAGAGGCTTTCTACTGCCTTACTAAGAAGTTACAGTAAGTAGGTAAATACATAAACAAATAAGAAGCTAGAGTCAAAGAAACCCACAGGGGAAGTTCTACTGTGCCCGATAGGGTCACCGTGTCAGAATTGGCATGATGGCAGTGAGTTTGACTTGAGGTTTGGAACAAGGGACCTTTGTCAATGTCTGGAGGCACATTTGCTTGTCTCAAGTACAAGAGGAGGCATTTGGCAGCTAGTAAGCTGTTAAACATCTTACAATGCACAGGATAGTCTTACCCACGCCACCCTCAATCAAAAATTATCCGGCCCCAAATATCAACCACGTCAAGGCTAAGGAACCCTACATTAGACTATCACAGGGAAGTAGAGTTATCCAGTGATGACTCATCCCCATTTCCACACCGCAAGGCTAATTCAGGAGAGTTGAACATTCTATGCATAAGAATTTTTTCTCCATATACTCCAGCATTAGGCGAAACACAGATGCCTTCTAAATTCAGCACAGAGTCTCCACTAATTCTAGAAAATTCAACTCTTAGGGCAAGCCAAGAAAGTCTTAATCAAACCACCATGTATTCATGCAATTATTTAACCACTTTCCTTGGCCCCAACTGCCTGCCTGGGTTCACGAAGGTACTAAGGGTCTCTCCTATAAGAAGATGAAGACACAAATTCTACTTCAGTAGCATTTATGGGGCTGTATTGTGGAGCAGAATCCAGTAAGAGAAACACCTTAAACGGAAGATTTCCATTATGCTGGGGGAATAATAGATCCCGCATAGATTTTACTTCCTCTCAGACATGTCTACCAAGCATCACATTTGGGAAATGTCACATGTATATATAGCATAGCAAGCAGAAAATGCACGCACTTCCATGAAGCGTCTTTGTACTTCCTGTAAGCAGGAAAGATGACCCGTGTAGGTGGTATCTGTATGTGCTATATATGGTAAATTACCTATAAAAGTCATTTCCACCAGGAAAGAGACATATGGCAAATCCTGGAAAGAAAAACTCTGACATTTCTTTTGGTCTCTTAGATTTAGTTAAAAAAATTTGAATCCCCTTTGCTCAGAATGATCAGTGCATGGGTATGTAGGGAGCTTCGTGAGAAGGGGTGAGATGTGCTCTTGATCCATCTGTGATCCCAGTTCCAGACAACATGCACTATTGCCTTTGAACTACAACTGAGGACCCTTAGTCAGTGAGGCCCTGTCAGTGTTCAAGGCCATCGTTCTCCTTAGTTAATTCCAATAAGAAGTCCATCAGAGGAACATTTTAATGATTTTGTTGTTGTTGTTGTTGCACTTCACGCTGACCTCCATTCCTCAGGACCATCCATGTTTCTGAGTTAATCCCTGCCTGTGCCTGTTCAAAGCATACCCCCCCCTTCTGTCCCGTATGCAGATCTTTACTGGTAGGCCAGTTACCAATCTAATCTATATCAGCTCAGATCTTAACATTTGGAAGTACCTGAATATATTGCCCTGCTGAGAAGTCTCTCTGTCTCTCCCTTTTATTCTTAGGAGGACCTTTTGAGATGTAATATAAACCAGAACGAATACGTTTATAAAATTATCTTTTTTCTAAAAGTATAATTTAAAGGTACTTTGATGAATAAATGAAGAATTGTTTCAAGGGGTAGCTGCTTATCACCCACATGCAAAATACGGGCGAGGATGTGGCTGCATGCATTGAGTTCTATCCAGTCCTATAACAGGCAGCTTATGCTGACAGCTCTGCAAAGAATTTATACTGTCTCCATCACAGCCAATAGCAAACCGCCCTGCCTATTCCTGTGTGCAAAGACCTCAACCTAGCTCTCTTTCATTAAGTCAGTAAGCTCGGCTTCCTTCTCCATGGACTATCACAACTATGGCATCTCGTCTGGTAAGCACTTCCCTATCTGCACTTAATGACTTCAGACGTAAAGGCCCCTACATGAACTCCCCCCACACCTCTCCACCCCAAACAACCTCCACCCCAATAATGTATCCATCAGTCAGATTCATAGTCCTCAGAAAGAGGCCATATCTTGTTTTGCCTGTGTCACTACTCAGCACTTGTGGTCTAATATTCTGGGCATAATGAGATCTGAACACATAGTCACCACACATGCCGTGTTTCATAATCATTTATCTGTTTACTTTTCTTCCCTTCTCTCCCAGAGATTGCAAGTTTACACAGGGCAGGAATGCCCCTTATTGATCTCAGCACCTTCAGGAACTTGTGTGGTCTCCAGCAGACTGTGTGTATTCAATACCTTCTTACTGAACAATGCCATGCAGGTAAAATGGGTTTCTCATGAGTGACAATTTAACCTTCCTTTTCACACTAATCCTAGATAAAATTGTTACTCAATACTTATAACTTAACCCAAAATTAATACTAATTGAGTCCTATACACCCTCCCTCATCTTTAGAGTCAAATGTGGAGCCAATTCTTTTTCTACTGCCACTTGCCTAGCATTACCAGTAATACCTTTAGGTCAGTTTCTAAACTTGTCGTCATTTTGTAATACTATGTGAAAGACCTGGTGCTTAAAGTTATCTCTGAATAAAATCTGATGAGCTACATTTCAGATGCTGTGGGAGTCACACATAGGCATGAGGGATGAGGTTGCAATCCATGGGTCATGCAGGGATGTCAACATGACAGAGATAGAAAACAAATCCGCAAAGGTGGTACTCCCACCCGACCCACAGGAATGCTGAATCACCTTCCTAAATAATGACTCTGCGAGCTCTGGGGGATGATCTTTGCTGTTCACCAACTGTGTGAGCGATGGCAGAGCTGGCAGCCCCCACTGCTCTGGTGCATTCTTAGAGGTAGTGCAAGGGCGAAGGACATCAAGGGTAAATCCTGTGGTGTTGGGTCATTTGTTGTGCAAATGAGCTAGAAAACCATAAATATAATCTTTTCCTTTTTTTAGACAGGTAGTTAGAATTGATCCTGGGTGCAATGTTGGATTTTTGCTAAAAGTATCTCCTCCTGAAGCTAATGTCTAGCAGAATATAGATTTAACAAGAGGCTAGTGCCCATGCAAAAACAAAAGCAAAGCCAAACAAAACCACGAATATCCAAACTCAAAAAACTACTTGCTGGCCCAGCAAGTAGTGACTTCAGTGTGATCACCACCTGCCACAGAGGGTTTCATTAAAATAAGCCTGGTGGGCCTCTTTTGATGATGCCAAAGGTGGCATTTCTACCCTCACCTCTGACACAGAAATGAATGACTGTTGTGTTGCTTAATGAGGCTATGCGGATGAATCTTCCTTCACCAAAGAGCAGCAATTTAGAGAAACCATTTACCTAGAAACCATGCCTCAGTGTCACTGCATGGCTATATAAAGCATAAAAGTTAATAGCATGGTGGGGAATATCATTAACACAATTTTATTGTTGTACATAATTTTATCAATTAAGCTCCAATTATGACATCGTTTAGAGAAAATACTAGTAAACAGTGATGAGAAGCTTGACCTGGACAAAGAATGTGGAGGCTAAGCAGGTGGCCTAGAGATTAGACTTGAACTGAAAACAACAACAACAACAACAACAACAACAACAACAAGGCAGACAGGATTCGTTATCTAGAAAATACTCAACAGAGGATAAAAGAAATCGGGAGTTCAATCCTAGCTCCAAAGGCATTCTCTACTATACGAGCTAGAAAAAAGCACCCCTTTGGGGACTTTATAGTTTTTTATCTCTCAGAGATCCTTAACTATTTGGGACACTTAGTTCTTCATGGGGAAAAACAAGGGTAGGAAAAGGAGCGTGTCCCACGTGGAAGGGTGATACCATCGGTAAATGACTGGCCTCAATTCTTCTTGTTTCACCTCTAGCGTTAGTTCACGGAGTGCCCATCTCAAATATGTCTTCATAAACATGTACTTGATGACCCTTGTTGAACGCGTTCTTCCTACTTTAAAATCGGGAGGACTCTTGTTTTCAGGATCTCTTATGGGTTCAATTGTGTCTCCTCTAAAACATATTCTAACCCCTATAACTGTGGATATAATGTAGGGTGATGTAATGATCTTGCATAATGAAATCTAATGTTTTAATGTGCACTCATTTAGCATATAGCATTAGAGTTAGGGAGCGAGATGAGGCTTTCTACTCCCGTAAATGTTTATCATCTCAGGAACCCACAGGGGCAATTCTATTGTCTTATAGACCACTATGATGGACCAGTGTAGAATGTGTCCTAAACCTCCTCACCCTGAGCTGTAAAAAGAGTAAATTGGCCACAAAGATAACTCCTGACTGAGGAAGACAGAAACTATATGATAACTCTCCACAAACAAAAGAACCAAAAAATACTCAGGCTTCTGACTAAGAAAGAATCAGTCAGGCCAACCCCTGAGTTAGACTTTTAGCCTCCAAAGCAGTCAGAAAATAAATTTCTGTTACATAGCGCTACACCCCTCGTGGTTTTTGTACTGCAGCAGCACTGACTAAGGTGGGCTTACTTGCTGTTTCTGTATCTAAAACCCTCGTTGCCAGCTTGGTTCATTTGGTTGTCAGTTTCTCCCCGGCTTCTTGTTGGTCTTTTCTCAGATGTCACCTGCTAACAGAGGCCTTCTCTCCAAAACCTATCAAAAATATTGCTCCAGTTCTTACCTTCCAAGTTCTAGCCCATATCCTGGTTTCATTTTTCACGATCACATTGTTCCTCATCAGTAAAAGGTTATTGATTTGATCACTCATTTATGACCTGCTCATTAATTAGAATGAAAGTAAGAGAAGGGTAGAGAATGTGTCTCATCCCTCCTCTGTATTTCAATGTCTGGAGTGGTGCCTAGCACACAAGCTTCTCAACCACCATGTCTTCAATAGTCTAATGAGGGGACCAATGAACCCCAGGCTTACTTTAACCATCAAGCTCAGTTAACTCAGCAAAATAACAAAAAGCACAATGTCCAGTCAATTCCAGCTCATACTGACCCTACAGGGCGGAGTAGAGGCTGCAAGTTTTAACGGTGCAGAAAAGCCTCATTTTTCTCCCAAGGAGCAGCTGGTCTGGTGGGTTTGAACCACTGACCTTGAGGATAGAAGGCCAACTCATAATCCTCTATGCCACCAACTCTCCTTTGAAATAACAAAGCCAGTGCAAATTAGCAACTCAACAGTCACGTGTATCCCAAGAACTTTCCTATAACAACTCTTGACACATCTACAGGATACATCCAAGAGTTGACAGTTGCTTTCTATTGCAGTAGCACCCACTTGATTGGATGTCCAAAATTAGGCAGATGATGTTAAAGGGGAAACGGCACCACATGCTAAATTTCTGAATGTGGAAAGGTGGAATCAAATAGCTTTGTTTGTAGACAAATGGACACCATGACAGTGACTTCAGTCTTATGCTTACAGCTGAGTCCCAGAGGGCGTGTCACTGCTGTTTGAGATAGGATGGAGACACTTGGAGGGACACAGAGAGAATGCCTTGGTCATCCAACTTAAAAAGCAACATTTCATTAAGTAAACTCTCCTTGATCTCCCAAAAGCAGTAATTCCTGTCTGTAACATTGTCTATGTTTACAAATGTGGCAAATATATGAATATCTCGTAAATAGATATGCCTTGTTCAGATACTTGCCACATTTGTAACACATAGAACATGACGTTGTAGGTCAACCTAGAACAGCTTATGAGTTATTCGAAAACAAGACTTCACCTCTTAACCCGACAGAACATACTGAGGAAGGCTCCTACCTGTCTTTCAGTGGTGTCACGAGGCTTCCTTTCCTGCGAAGCAGATCTTGGGGCCCATAGGGTGTGCTTTTACATTTTGAGTCTGTGTCACAGAGCAGGGTTTGTAGGAACGGGAAGAAGCCGGCACTAGGAAGATTTCGAGGTGCCATGTAACCTGAAATTTGAAAGAAAACACAACAATAACCACACCACTATAGCACATTTTAAGGAGGCCTGCTAGCACAGTGAGTTAAGCATCAGACTACTAATGGAAAGGTCAGTGGTTCAAGCCCACCAACAGATTCATGGGAGAAATATGAGGCAGTTTGCTTCCCCAGAAACTTATAGCTTCTTATACCGCATAGTGTCACTCTGCGTTGGAATCAACTGCATGGCAGTGTGGGTGGGTTTCGTTGGTTTGCTTTTGTTTGGATGGCACAGTTGCCCCAGAATAAGAAAAGGTCGTAACCTCTAGTGGGCGACTAACAGGGCCTCCAGCCAATCCTGCTTCAGCAGCTAGCTTTCACTGATAAGCAGGAATCAACTTAAAGAGGGTTTTTAAAAAAATATGATCCATCTTCATTTGCTAATTTGTAATAAAAGACTTTAAAAGGCTTGTTGCCCACCACTCTCTTACCCTGGGATATATTATAGCAAAACACAGGTAGTTGCACAGAAGATTCCTAGATAATTTACAAAATAAATCCATATACCCATGTGATGAAATACAGTACAGCAATAAACATGCTTCCACTATTTATTTGTTCATATAGAAAGATGTTTATAGTACACTGTTCATTTGAAAGAGTAGAGCAGAAAACAGCAGTAGAGAACAATGACAAAATTATAAAAATATCAGATACGCATATATGTTAAAATATAGAAGGATATACCACCAAAATGATATTAAACTTTGTATATTTCACATTACTTTTATTTACCTCCTCTTTTGACACTGTATTAACTCTTTTTCTAGACTACATATGTCTTGTTTTCTCATCACGTGGCTAACCTTCCTGATGCCAAGAAAAAGATACATTTCTTAAAAAATTTAGCATAAGAGCTTATTTCTCTCATGCACATAAGAGTCTCCCCTATTTAAAAACCAAAAGAAAATGGTATGTCCAAATGGGCACATTTTTCCCAATAATTAAAGTCACAGAAAGCAGGAACCATTACAGTAAAGATTCCTGTAACTGTGACATGTTTTTGCAACATATGATTATCATATACGGATGAGTCAAGACAATAGGTAAGCTGTAAAACAGATATCTCCCCACAATCAGGTTTGATCTGAAAACACTAGTTTTATCCATTTTGGAAACGACAGAAGCGATGATTTCCTAGACGTGCTCAGGAACTCAGAATTATGAAACTGAAATTAAAGCAAGATTTTGACTTCTTCACAAATCTGTAAAGCTGTTGTGTCTGTAGCTAGTACTAAAGATCTGGTTTCCTTTGAAAGAGAAAAAAAACAAGTGGGATGAAAGGTATGATCCATATGGTAAAATATGAACTACTGTACTGTAATAAACATAGGAAGTAATGTGATCAAAAGAAGGCTAATACAGATCTGACAAAAGGCATGAAAAAGGAACCCAAAATAAAACGGAGGCGGGTCATATAATAGTTGACTAGGGGAAAAATGAAGAAAAGACAGAGAGACTTAGATATGCTAGTGGCTTTGAAGGTTGAGGGTGAGGACCCAAACCGATCCATGCAGGTGACCCTAAGAAGCTAGAATAGGCAATGTAAGCGATTCCCCCTGAGATGTCTCTAGTTTGAGTCTCTGGGAAGATCATAGCCACACTAACATCTTGATTTTAGGCTACTGAGACTAATTTTGGACTTCTGACCTAGAGAAATGTACGGCAATAAATTTGTGTTGTTTCTAAGCCATTAGCTTGTGGAAATGTCTTATAGCCACAATAGGAAACTAGCATCCGTGCGAACCACACTTGGAAAACCCAGCAAACCGGAAGCTCACCAAACTACACACTGCTATCTTCTATGCACCCCACCTCTCTCACTCCAGTAAGACTAGTACTTCTTGTAACATTAAATCCGGTCAACATTGCAATAGACCAATTATTCCCTTTGTCGCTTTCGTCAGAGTGTAATTCCACGAATATGTGAGAGGGTAGCAGCCTGAAAAATAGGCTTAAGTTTTTTTAATGTTTTATTGTGATTTGAATGGAAGTTTATAGACTATATTAGTTTTCCCTTCAGCAATTTATTTAGATTTTATTTTGTGCCATGTTTGCAATCTCCACAATGTAACCACAGTCTTCTCACTTCCTGTGTTTATCGCTTCCATTTGCCCTTCTTCTCAGTCCCTTCCTGCCTTGAGCTTTATACTTCCCGCCTGATCTTCTATGGTGGATTGTTCTCAGGAGTGCCTACCTTTGGGGGGTTACTGACCATCTGATAGGCCTGCCTGTCGCTGGACTGAAAGTCAAGCGCGAGGATGAGTCCCGTTCCACATCTGAAGGGTGTCGCAGGGCCACAGTAAGCCTGTGTTTTGAAAAATGATCTTGTGTTTTGTCCAGTTTCCTCCCTTCCTTCCAGGATCTCCTACTGTGATTCCGCTGAAGACAGTGGACCATGGTAGCCAATCACCATTTACTTCCGCTCTCAAAGTGATGGGGTCTGGGGGTCTTGGAGTCCGTGAGTTCGTTGGACTCATTGTTTCCTTGCACCTTTGGTTTTCCTCACCTTTTTTTTGGTCTCCATATAGGGTGAAACCAAGAGTTGCATCTTGAAAGCTTTAAAGACCCTAATCAATACTCACCAACGTAGGATGGAGAACACTGTCTTTGTAGATTACATTATTCAACCTGAACTGCGTGTTCCCACAGACTCCTGTCCTGTGTCCCCAAGGCCTCCAGGTTGGTTCTCTCAAGGTATTTGGTATGGCTAAGATGCTTTGTAACTTCGCCCCCTGTGTGCTCTACTATCTACAGGAATAGATTTGCAGCACAAGTAAATATATAAGTAAGCATATCTCAGCACATGCACCATATAAGTAAGCATAGCTCTGTCAAATTTACATGTAATATATATTCATGAGTGGACTACCATTCACATTCCCACTCCTGCCCAATCAGAGTGTCTATCTTTGTATGTATTCACTCTGTGTGCACATATCTATGTATTCCCTCATAGATTATTTTATCAATGTCTTTGCTAGTATTTACCTTTGCTGGCTCTCACTCTCCTGCTTCTCCCAGTGTCTTCTTTTGCCTTAATCATTTTGTGCTGACCCCCCCTTTATTGTACGTCGCCGTTCCTTCCCCCAAGTTAGCCTACATCTACTAGTTAGTGCTTTACTCTCCCCTTGGTAACCTTCAGAGAATCTTTCTTTCTGGTTGTAAACCTTCCCTTGACTTTTTACAGTAGGGGCCTTGTACAGTATTGTGCAATATTGTCCTTTTGCAGCTTTTCTAGCAACCCACTCTAACAAAATTCTGCCACGATGAATTTTATACGGCGTGACCTTCACGAGTCTCTCGTGGAATTTTATTACGAATGATGATCTGCTCTGTTACATAGATGCTAGCTATGCGTCTGCAAGTAGATTTGTTCCTACTTCATCACCGCTGTGCGCTGTTGATCATGTGACTGGAAGGCAGAATAAAGACAACAGAAACATGATTTCCCCTTCAGCAAGAATCCCTGCGATATGCCACTTATCAGGGTGGTGATGCGGCTGGGCTGAGCAGTGAGGAAACAGCCGAAGCACTAGAAAAGTGGCGTCCCCCCCTGAGGAGGAGGAAATGAGGGGAAAATTCATGGGAATCTAGTTGAGAACAGCGGCACAACGCACCCAACATTGCCTTTCCTGAAACTGATCACAACTTTCAAATGATTTGAGAAAACTTTAGAAGACTTTCAGTTAAACCCACCACATTTTTCAACTATAGACATGCCTAGTTTATAAGGAACCCTGGTGGCATTGTGAGGTGGCAGTTAACTGTTCAGCACAAGGACAGCAGTTCAAACCCGCCAGCTGCTCTGTGGGAGAAAGTTTTCCAGCCACAGAAGCCCAGTCTAGGGGTCACTACGACCGAGAATCAACATCATGATCTCTGCGAGAATTCATCGCCGGCTTTCTTTAAAAACAAGGTAAGATAAGAACTGAACATAGACAATCCTCACTTCCTACAGCTTTGTGGTTATGGAAATTGGACCATGAACCATGGGACTGTGCCGATAAGGAGCGGGCTCATTTACATACACATTTCACCTAACACAATCGCATGCAAAATGAGAATTGCCTGTATTGTTTCTGTTACTACCATCTTTTCACCAAGGACTGTACACTCACTAAGCAGGCTGTCATAAGAACAATAAAACCAAAAAGACTCCCTTTGGGCCGATTCCAACTCTAGACACCCTACAGGACAGAGTAAAACTTCCTCCGTGAGTTTCCGACATGGTAACTCTTTACGGGAATAGAAAGCCGTCATTCTCCCAAAGAGTGGCTGGTGGTTTTGAACTGCTGACCTTGAGGTTAGCAGCCCAAGGGATTTCCCATTACAAGAACAATAGCAATGATTTATTAAGCACCTACTGTATGCCAGGCTCTATGCTAGGGGTGAAACATACTTTCACGCCACCCATCCTTCCTTGGCATGAGCTCCATGTTTCCCATGCATGTCACTTTCCCACAAAGTCTGAAAACCCTCCAGGACCAACACGCCAGAATTAAGCCAAGTAAACTTTCATTATAGCTTCCTCAGAAAACAGTGAAGAACCTCTCCATTGGCTGCCCAGTTTAGTTCTGTGTGCCCGGAAGTAACCAACCTGCGCAGTGGTGGAACCAAGTCATCACATTTCAGATCTGCTCATTTTAACTTGAATTCACTCTATTCTGAGGGTGCCTCTGACATGTTCAGGTTCCAAACGAAGGTTTTCCTTCACGTTCCCAAATGCCAGGATAAAGGTAAGAGGAAACAAAGTATCTCCATCCTTCACAGATCGGCCATAGACCAATTTAGAGCACCCGAAGGAAAGGCTAATAGATGGTCAGCCCTGTTCACAGCCTGGGAACAGAGTTAACGATGCAAGTAAAGGCAGATCATTACTGTGCACACGGCAGTACCACATACAAGCAAAAACAAAACAAAACAAAACCCCACAACGAAAAACCAGAACTCAGGGGCCTTCGGACAG